TGTGAAGGTCTGTGCAATGAAACCCCCCGGTCACCTGTCGTAGTTTAACCTTGGCCAGCAACTAAGCACCATGCAGCCGCTCACTCACTGCCCAACAATTTGATAACTGAAATAAATTTAGTAATAACAAAAATAATAATAAAACATAATAATAATAATAATAATAATGAAAAGGAAGATAACAAAAAGAGAGAGAAATAAATCCAAGAAAATACAGGTGATGCACAGTGCAGTTCCTCACCACCCACTGACCGATGCCCAGCCAGTCCCTGAGCACCAACTGGCCCCCCAGCCAGCTCCCCCAGTTATATACTGGGCATGACGTCCTGTGGTGTGGAATATCCCTTTGGCCAGTTCAGGGCAGCTGTCCTGGCCATGCTCCCTCCCAGCTCCTTGTGCACCTCTCACAGAGATGGTGAAAGCTGGTGAAAAAGCTGGTGAAAGGCCTAGAGAATGAGACATATGAGGAGCGGCTGAGCGAACTGGGGCTGTTTAGGCTCTAGACAAGGAGGCTGAGGGGAGACCTTACTGCTCTCTACAACTGCCTGAGGGGACACTGTAGAGAGGCAGGTGCTGGCCTCTTCTCACAGGTAAGTAATGACAGAACAATGAAACGGACTCAGGCTGCAGCAGGGTAGGTTTAGGCTTGACATTAGGAAAAACTTTTTCACTGGAAGGGCTGTTAGACTTTGGGATAGGCTGCCCAGGGAGGTGGTGGAGTCACCATCCCTTAACGTGTCTAAAGGTCATTTAGATGTGGTGCTGGGGGATATGGTTTAGGGGTGTGCTTGGCAGAGTAGGGTTGATGGTTGGACTCGATAATCTCAAAGGTCTTTTCCAACCTGAATGATTCTACGATTCTCTCACTGGCAGAGCGAGGGAAACTGGAAAGTCTTTGACTTAAGATAAGTGCTACTTAGCAACAACTAGAACATCAGTGCGCAAGTTGTAAGGTACTTCCTCAACTATGAATGTGCAGTGGACAGAGTAATAGTGATAGTTTATGCCTTTTGTCTTTAACAGGAATGTGATTAAAAAGATTTGTGGTTTAATGGAATGTTTGCAGTTCCCTTGATCAGGTTTTTGAAGCGTGAATTTTGTAGTAAAGGTTTCAGAAAAGGCTTTAGTTTCAGCATGATTTTTTTTCCCCTTCCTCTCACTCACTCACTCCAGTTTAACATGCACCACTGAGGTAAAGGTCAGGGAGAGAACATGAATGTGCTTTGTGAGAGTAGGTGGTGTATCTGAGAAAAACTAGCAAGCTTTTGAGCACAGTTTTTAAAGATGAAATGAAGGACTTTTGTGCAAAAACCTTGCCTGTTTTTCCCCACAATATTAGTTGTTTTAATAAAGTATTTCACTTTCCACAGAACTTGCTTTATGTGCTTAAACTATCATGACAACAGCAACTTCACTAAAGCCCAGATTTTACAACTTCACAGCATGTATCTAAGTTAATGAGAAGCATCTCCCCATTGCATCTGCTCTCTGCAATAGGCACGAATGCAAGCTGGCTGTCCTGAGAGCAAGGACTGTGTGTGTGTGCAGGAGGGGGTGAGGTCAGGACAGCTCTCTCATTGTGCGTGCCCCAGAAGTCTTGCAGAACAGAACTGAAAAATGAAGGGCTTACACTGGGGAAAATACAGGTGAAAACCAGAAAGGACTATGTAGTTACTGCAAACCTTTCAGAGGCAGAGTTAGGAATATTGGTGTTTTGAGGACAATGAAAAGGAGTAGGAGGTGATCAGCAGACAAACTTTCCTCTTTCTGGGAATTCTGTCACATTAAATAATGAGGAATAAAGGCCTCTAATACTTTTCTCCATGTGCAACTGTTTTCAGCTCTTGGGGTCTCCTAAGTCTGTAATGATCTATTGAGATCCCTCAGTGGCTCTCTTTCAGGTACTTTTCCCATCTCACCATGAGCCCACGTAAACGTTTTGCATTGACAACACCCTGTTGCGAGGCGCTCAGCAGGTCTGCTCTGCTGTAAGAAAAACCACCTCCCCTGGCTTGCTTGTTCCTGCTGGCTGTAGCT